CTCTCTCTCTCTCTCTCTCTCTTCTCCCTCTTTCCCTCCCCCACCAATCCCACTATTATCTTTCTCTCTTTTTTCATGACCTTTGATTTTGATATTCCTTTCATGAAAATCCATGACATTAGGATGCCCAAAGCGTTTGGAAAAGTTTCAAATAGTCATACTTCTCCTGGAGGTGATTTAGGTTGTAATATAATATTTGCATATTGTATTCCAGAGGTACAACCATATTGCTGGAGGTGGAAAAATAGGAACAAGCTATATATGAAATAAAGACGTGGGTTTATATGTTGTCAGACAAAACCACCCGAAGAAGGAGGAATGAGCGTTATTGGAATATTCCCCAGCAGATTATCTTGTCGGGTTTCAGTGATGAAAACCGTAATCCTCACCACGAATAGATATCCGGAGAAGATGTTTGGGGATTTGAAGGAACCGAATTTCTATGATATTTGATGTAATCAATTAGCTACATCTACGTCAATGTTACATTACCCGGATATTGACCTTTCTTTTGGCCACTGTTGGCTGTCTAATGTTTTTTTGTTTTGTCTTGTTTGCCAAAGAATGATTCTGTGACGCAATAATGCTCTCGAATCGGATCCGGAAGTCAACTCGGTTATCTTAGCTGCTATCAAATGACAAATGATTAGAAACATGCGACTGATTTATATATCGCGTGTGAACTAAAGGCAGTTTTTTTAAAGAAAATTAAGAATTAGTTTTTCTAAATGGCTACATTTTAATGAGAGTAAAGATATACAATGATTTTAACGGCCACATTAAAGGGACGGACAGGCATACTTTGGAAGAGGGTGGGGGGGGGGCAGAGACAGAGGAAGTTGAAACATACCTAGACGTATAGAGAAAGAAAGGGAGGGGTACAATACATGGAATATACATGCATAGACAAGATACATAAATCATATACGAAGATAGATAGATGGAAAAATATATGGATAGATCGATAGGTAGACAACATAAGATAAGATAAGATCAGATCAGATCAGATAAGATAAGATCAGATCAGATAAGATAAGATCAGATCAGATAAGATAAAAATGAAATAAAGTAGATCGAAAGAGGGAGAGAGATAGATAGAGAGAGAGGGGGAAGGAGCGGGTGAGATAGAAAGAGAAGACACATACTTCTTCTCTCATTCTTCCTGATCTTACAAGACCATGAAGACAATTTATGCAGACACTCTTTAAGGTAATACAAAGTTTTGGTATGGGGTTATGAATTTGGTTCAAATGAACATATTGGACGCATATGCGGTCATACAATATTCAGTGATCGTTGTCGCGGTTGAAAACGAGTCTAAAGTTATGAAATTGTAAATAATAAACTCTTTATGATGTATAGCTCCCTCTCAAGGTCAAGACATAAATTAAGCTATAAAACAATGTTTCTTGACTAAAATCTACCGATTAGTTGTTTCCGTTCGGAAATTATCTATCACAACTACATATTCTGAGATTTTCATGGTCGCAGCTACCATTGTACGGCCGTAGGCGCTATTTGAAATTTATCAAAATTTACCGGGAGCACCGGTAAATTGTTATATTCAATTTTTCTCGAAAGCAGAAGTAGTTTAGGGGCTAAGTTTTCAAGTGCTTATAATACATCCACAGGGGAATCCAAATATATCCAAATTGTGAAGAATCACTATCCACCCAATTTTCAAAATTTCCCAAAACTGTGTATTACCTTTAACTCCTCAACTTGGTATTGTTACATTTGCAGCAAGCTGCAGTCCCTTGCCCCCTCCCCGAGGCCCCCGAAATCGAGAGATACCTGCGGTGGCCTCATGGTCACCCTAAGGCGTATCCCTATCTTTACAGGCCGTACGGGTCGCCGTGGGATTATAGCGACGAGTTATAACTTTTTTCATTCCTAGGTTCGCCGTAGCAATTACACAACTAGACACACCATAGCCCTGCCGTAGAGCGGTTCCACGACGACCATACGTTGACCGTACGGTGGCCTTGCGGCTACCTTGCGTCTGCCTTAGTATATGTCGAAAACCTACGGCCGCCGCAGGGACGCCCTAAGGCGCCGTGCGTCATCACTTCAAAGGCCGTACGGCAGCCGCAGGTTTTCTGTCTCAACAAATTAAAAATAAGCATTTCGGCAACTCTTAATCGTTGGTCACAACCCACCGTGCGTGTTTTTAGTCTGTACGGTTTTTGGGGAGGCCACGGCCGTCATGTTGTTCTGAAAACGAAGGGAGGAAGTGGCAAAGGCAGGGAGGGATTACCGGCAACGCACGTCACACGCACGCCACGCCTGGCCGTGAGCGATTGCGTGCATCGTACGTTGCGCGTTGTACGTGCTTACAATGTGCTTACAACGTAAGGTCACCGTGCAGTTGCCACGTTATCGTACGAAGGCCGTACTTACACATGCTGCTCACGTACGGTGCCCTTACACACTCGCACGTTGTAAGTGTGTGCACGTGCGATGAACTCGGTGAGTTCTTCCGCCCGATGTCGGGGTATATATAGGATGACATTCTGATGTCCTCCAGAAGTGAGCTGCTGCTGCCTTAAGATGTCGCCAATTCCACCGCAGAGACTATTATACTGCATAAATCAGTGCGCACAACGTGCTTACTCGGTACGGCCCACGTGAGTTCTGCGTGCTCATTGGACAGTTGAACTGGGGGAAGTGGCGAGTAAGCACGGACCACGCACTTATCACGTGCGCAGCAAGCACGTGCTAAGTGCGCCTCCCGTAGAGCAAGTGACCGTGGGAAACAAATTTAAAAGACACACGGAGTCAGTGCGTTGTGCGCTCGTTGGCAGAACCGGGCACGCACGTCACACGCACTGGGGTAAATCAGTAGCCCGACCGCAGCCCTAACGCAGCGAAAGTTCCTCATGCACTAAAAGTGCTACGGTACTTACCACGTACGGATATCCAAAGTTTGCCCACGTTTTTGCACGTAGACAGCACGCACTTGCAAGTACAGCGGGTTGGGTCCACCGCATAACAAGTGACTGCTACCGTATGTGACCGTAGGAATGTTGAGGCGGCCCTATAATTGCTATTGGTCGTAGATATTTTAGAACCCTCTGCCGCTGCGGCAAATGTGACCTATACATTAGACATTAACCTCGGTGCCAGATTAGCCACGTGATCATAAGACAGTAGCCAATCAGAGCATGTCCCTCGCCGTCTGTAGCTTTACATAGAGAGGACGCTTGACGGAGCACTAGACACTTCTACAAGCTGAGAGCGCAAGTGTTAGCTACCAAGCACGCTCTTGTTGGGCAGAGTAATCCTTTTTAAATTCTAATTTTCAAGATGACGTTCATTTCGGCCTTGGCATCAGAAACGTTATGATTGGGCCTCAGCCCTGTCATTATGTTGTCTCACATTGATTGTGCATACATTTTTGCATACATTTAAATGCTTACAAATTAAACTAACCAAACAACTGAGAAAATATAAACATAAATAAGTTTAATAAAATCTACTGACTACTAAATAATGGCTTTAAACAAGAGAAACGGGAAAATACTACGAGCAACAGGACTGAAACACAGACAAAAACTAAACAAGACAGACAGGTGAATAGATGTGAGAAACGGGAGTAGAATTATGCTGACCTATATAGCAATTTTTAAAAAAAAATATTGATCACAACTATAAATCTGGACGATATCGACTCAGATAAAGTAACTTCAGTTTGCGCTTAAATACTGACCGATTGCGCTATTCTTGGTTCAAGGGAATTCCAAAACCTAGGTCCAGTGGACCCCAAAGTAATAAGGGCAAATTCTGTTCGAACAAGAGGTAAGTGATATGCTTGCGCCTGTTGTGCGGAATAATTATAAATTTGTTTTTTTTTCTTAAATATTCTAGCCAAGGCTACTAGCAGTAGACCTGCATTCAATTCATACATTAGAGCTCCTAGTTGTAAATGATAAATATCTTCAACTTTCAAAACACTACTATTATTAAAAAAAAATTAAAAAAATTATAAAAAACACGTCTGTATGCGCAAGATAGTCAGTATTACAAACAATTCGCATTACTCTTTTCTGTACCAGTAGTAATTTATCCACTTGAGATTTGAACGAGTTGCCCCAAGCTAGCACACCAGTATTTCTTGACAATAATTTACAAAGTTTACTTATATGGTTCTTCCAATTTAAATGTTCATCAATATGCAAGCCAAGAAATTTAAATGTAGATACCCTTTCAATCTCAACACCATTGAACATTACATTTCCAGGCAATATACTCAGGGAATTACTAAAGAGCATATAATTAGTTTTTTAAAGATTTAAAAAAAAACTTGCTTGCATGAATCCACGAAGTCGCAAAAGTAAACTCAGAATTGACAGTCTGCAAAAGAGTTTGTGGGTTTCTGTGAGAGAAAAATACACTCGATTCATCTGCAAATAAAATGAATGATAACATCTTTGCGGAAAGTTGATAAAATGGTTTCCTGTTAATTATTTTATTGTCGCTTTAATTATGTGCCATAAAGTCTTAGTTCTTTTGTTTGTGTGTTTTATAAAAACATAACCGTTAGAATATCTCATCCATTTTTGCGGGTGATCATATTACTTTTAAGTGTTTAAATGTTTATCTAAAAAATGCAATATGACTTCTGGTTTCTACCGGAAACGTTCATAATTGTTTCCTGAACTGTATTTAAGTTTCGATTACTATAATTCAGAATAATATATGATAACCACAATTTTCTAAAGAAAACAAAATCCGAGTGCCTTTTCACAGCTCAAAATGAGGCTGACAGTCTGCAGCAAAGGATTACAATTTGTTTATGCTTCTACGAGCTTGTGTTAGCACGCTATATTCGAGAGCGACATATATATTATCATCCGACAAAGGTGCACGTATCTTTCCTTTTTCAGAGATGAGATATTGACGTCATGGCAAACGACTCAATCTTGTACCCATTGCTCGTCGCTTGTCTCCTTGTCAGCTCATCCTTTCAATCTTTACATCGACACGATGAAAATTCGGTGATGACATCCTTAAGACTGGACATTGACAAATCTTTCCATGGATGCGATCAGAACCTTGAACTGAAAAAAGCTTCTTGCCGCAATAAAGACCTGGACACGGTTCCTCAGAATCTTTCTGAGGATACGGAGGTGCTTGACTTGTCTCAGAACAATATCACCAAACTCTTGAACTCATCGTTTGAAGTATACCCTCTAATCTACTTCTTGGACATTTCTTCTAACGATGTAAGAGCGATAGAATCCGCCGCTTTTTACCCCTTCAAGGGCTTAAAGGACCTGCTTCTAGCCTTTAACCCGCGTCTTGTGCTTCCAGCAACAGGCGTCTTTATGATGTCTACACAGCTTTCCATTCTCGATTTAACGTCATCAAACTTGAAGTCGCTCCCCAATGACACTCTAAATTGGAGTCCACACCTGGATACTGCATATCTGTGGTTCAACCAGCTCTCCTTCATCAATGTAAGTTCTTGTGGCATGGCCGACACTGTAGACATGACTGGTAATCGACTACAACACCTTACGGCGAGGGATTTCACCTTTGTGTGCCACACTGATACTCTAGATCTTTCAGAAAACCCTATCCAATCAGTAGACCCTCATGTGATCGCATCACTACATGTTCGCTCCTTGGTGCTAGGTGGCTACCCTTTGAGTTACGAGGTGTTGGCGAACATCATCCTCGGAATCTCAAAATCAAACATCGGAAAGCTTACAATCTCGAAAGGCTCCGTTGGAGCGTTTCCTGATGGTTTCTTTGATCTTCTGCGCGATTCTTCTCTCTCTGTTCTGAGCTTCATCTACAACGACCTGAATAGTTTCCATCCTTTAGTCTTCTCAAATTTGACAAAACTCAAACAATTCACTCTTAGTTATAACAATCTCCCAATAGACGAAATTCAACCAGACTTTTTCGAGGGCATGAAGGCATTAAAGGTACTGAGAATCGACGACAACAAAGTAAGACAAATAAATCCTCACAATCAGATTTGGACAGTAGACTTATTGGAGTTTTACTTATCCGGTAATCTGTTTAGAAATATATCTGCATCTGTATTTCGTGGTTTAGGAAATTTAACTTTCTTAGACATGAGCTTGAACAAATACCTTTCTGTCTTTAAGCTGACGGCCTTTTCGGGACTTGACAATATTCAAACCATTGATTTGAGCGGCAGTATTGTTCTTGAATTGAAGAGCCCAATATTAAAATCAATTTCCCTAAACTTTCTAGATCAAGTCTTTCTTCCTTTGCGACCAGGTAAATCGTTTCAACATTTACAATCCCTTGTTAATTTAGCCATGATAGACTCTTACCTTAGCCTGACTTACCTATGCGATGCAACTGCAAACGCGTCACTTTTCGATGGATTATTGGATCTTATTCATTTGGACTTGAGTAGTAACCCTTCCCTGAGTTTTGTAAGCGATTTACCGCCAGAGATATTCCGGTCACTCTCTGTTTTACAAGAGCTAAATATAGACTTCTGCGATATTACAAATCTACATCCTCTTGTCTTCTCGGGGTTGGAATCGCTTCAGAAGTTGAGTTTGAAAGGAAACAACATCCAGAATATTCATGATGATGTATTGTCGGGGTTGGGTCAAATAAAAAGTATCGACTTTGAAGAAAACCGCATCGCGTACTTGGAGGAGCTAATGTTCTCAAATAACTGGAAACTCACAAATCTTTCCTTGGCCAACAACAGATTAACGCGCCTTGTTCAAAGCACTTTCGAGCCGGTCTTTTCCTCCATTTCATCACTTGATCTATCAATGAACCCAATTGATTGTAACTGTGATCTAAAGTGGCTTATTGATTGGTTAAATGAACCTATACGCCTGAAAAACAAGGACGAAACTATCGAAGAGACTCCAGCATCTCTGGAGTCTCTTCGTAAGAAACCCCTGCTTGATTTTGAACCAAATGAACTCTGTATAATAAACAATGGTCTATTCTCTCTGATTCCCCTCGTCTCCATTAGCTTGGTTGTAATCAGCGTACTGTTGTATCACTACCGATGGCAGTTGAGGTACAAACTCTATCTCTTGAAACTGGCCGTTTTGGGATTTAAAGAGATGCGAGACGCTCGAGACCACAATGACTACGAGTTTGACGTGAACATCATTTTCTACGACGATGACGAAGATAACGAAGAATGGATTCGCGAACAGCTTCGACCGGCTCTCGAAGAACGGCTTCCACAGTTTCAGAGGAACGTCTTTGGTGACCAAGACCTTGTGGTGGGTATGCATTACTTAGATTCCGTCGATTACGTGGTGAGCCATAGTTACAAGACCATCATAGTGCTTAGCAGAGCTGCTGTGCACGACCACTGGTTCATACTCAAGTTCCGTACGGCCATGGACCACGTGAGTGACACTTTGACTGAATTCGTAGTTGTGGTTTTCCTCGAAAACATCCCAGATGATGAAATGCCATTCTTGGCGAGGTTGTATCTCAGTGATGGCAGACCCTATATCCACTGGACTGAGGACGTGAGAGGGCAAGATTATTTCTGGGATGAATTGACCAAAAATCTGACCATTAATCTAAGAACGAATGACTTGATCCCAAACGAGTAGCAGTTATGTAGGAAAATAGAGATACATGTGATGGTTATCAGTAATGAAAGTGATAGTAGTAGAAGTAGTAGTAGTAGTAGTAGTAGTAGTATTAGTAGTAGTAGCAGTATTAGTAGTAGTAGTAGCAGCAGTAATAAAAGTTGTAGTAGTAGTAGTAATCACCATAACTTCAACTGTATTATTTCATATTTGCTGAATAAGAGAATTTTTTTAGCGTTTAAAGGTTTCTATTACTCTAAGACTTAGCGCACACTACACGATCTGACTGTGATTCGATTTTGGATGAATTAACAACAGCATTTATATGAACATTCCAACATGTAAAATCTTAATGATTTGGGATATGTTTATTCATGTTATTAATAAAATTTAACTTTTAGGGGATTTTAAGCCTCTTAGACGGAGGAAAAGGTAAATCGGCTCAGCATCTTCGTGATCTCATACCAGTAATACGATTGTCTTCGATTTGGAGCCGAATCGTATTATTGTGACTAGAGGGCTTAAAGGCACTACATTGATTGTTTTTAGTATTCTTATCATTTATTTACAATTTAAATCAGCAACACGTTTTTTGTTTACATTTCCATAACTAAAATAATTTCCATTTCTTCAAAAATCGGATCGCAGTCGGATCCTGTAGTGTGCGCCGTTCAGTCTAAGTGTATAAGTGTAAATATTTATGAAGGAAGTGAATCTTTTCAAGGTAACCAAAAACCCATGTCCATGAAACCTCTATAACGACGACCTGTTCTGTAGACTATGGTTTGGAACATAACACGAGGAGTTATATTAATAATTTGAGGTCAAATTAAGGGTTTTCTCTTCGTCTCATTATGTCTTAAAGATACTATGTCCCATTTGCAGCCAACATCATATTCTTAGCAGGAATTATGAATATGTCATGTATGTCCTATCTGTGAAATTTAAACGTTAGCAGTGTCCTAATATTCAAATTATGCAAGGAAACCCGTTTACTTGCTAGACTTCACCGTCTGACACTTTTGTTAGTATTGAGTGACTTACTGGCTTTTTCTTCTTCTTTGGTAATAACATACATGTACATAAAAGGAGCTGTAAAGGATTTGTCTACATCAATAACCCACTTTTTGTAATGGCCAAAATTGAACTGATTGAATCTTTGCGCAGCATAAAACGTATGACCATTCGGTACAATAATTGTCTAAACATCAAGACTATTACTTATTGGCTCTTTAGCTCCTAAGTCGATTTGACAACTAATAGTCGTTATTTTCCCACTTAAAGATATTTTAAAGCCCTATTTTTTTTAAGGGGAGTTCTAAATTAGTATTACCTTTCAAATGCCATTGGAATTTAACCTTTTCATTTTTTGGGCCTGCAAAAGGGACATAGTACCTTTAAAGGGATCGTTTAACAATGTTAAATCTGAGATGAATGGCCCTACGTGTTATCAGTGTCTGTGATGGGGTGTTATATTGAAGCCCTACAAAAATTGCGCTTCAAAATGATCAAGGAAGGCCTCAAAAAAGTAAAAACCTTTGAGTGACCGGTTTTACAATACTCTTTTTCCCCAATAGACTGTATTGTTACGAAAACCGTTTGGCAAACGCAAAATTTGATTTCGATTTTCAATCATAAATATCTTGATAATCAGACAGGCGATCTGCTTGTAAAAGTCATGGGGTTCTTGACTGACCTAAAGGTTTATAATTATCATTGCAGCATGAGGTAAATCAAAGATTTTTAAAAAGGATCTAAAACAAAGTTACCGGATCCCTTTAAATCTCTCGGTGTCAGTGAAATTTACTCAAGAATACCGATCTCTGAAAATATAGGCATTCTCGCCATCGAACATGTCGAGCATGACTGTGGAATATATATATATATATATATATATATACATTTATGTACATTTTTGTAAATCATGCCAGTCAAAACAACATTTGCTTGTTTTCAATAGCATTTTTAATACTTCACACAAACTTTCACATTGTTGTATGGTAGTTCACCTTATCAATGTAAGACGCTGTGTCAAAGGAGTATAAAATCGTTTTACAGCGAAATTAATGTGTACATGTGTTTCTCATAGTTTAGACGAAAAGGATACAACTATGGATGTACGGAGCGAGAAAAGAGGAGGATGGGGGTGTCCCCGTCCAATTTGAGCATTTTTAAACGTGATAATCAGCGTTGCATTGTACTTTCGAAGTAACTGACCTGGGCTCTGTTTCATACACCTTGTTATCAATAACAAATGCTAAATGCCTATGACGAATTTGCTCTCAGCCAATCACATGCCACGATCTCAGTAGGTCATAGCAGTTATTGTAACTTGTCTTGATGACAAGTTTTATGAAACAGGCCCCTGGTTCCCTTGAGAAACTTGAGAACCTGATAATATGAGACAGAAAGTGATGAGAAATACGAAAACCTAAAAACTAGGATTACAGAAGATAGTTATGGAGTGAGAGAGACTTCCCTTTTCCAGCGAGGAAAATTTAGGACATTATTTTTACCCGGAAATATGAACATAAAAATTGAACGCAATGTTAGCATTCTTCGTTTGGCATTCATTCATTGTATGTCGCTCTCACACATGAGGCGCGTCAAACGCCGCGTTATTTGCTAACGCAGTTCTACGTCAACGAAATGACGCTTCGTGTCGGTGACGGGCCTTACTGACATGCAGGGTGATGCACGGCGCAATATCCAAATGGTTGATAGTCTCCATTGTGGGGGTATTGTGGTTTAGTGGTTTATTCACATCAGGGGCGTAAATCCGTACCGAGGAGTGGGGGGAGGGATGATCGACGATAGCCATCACATACTAGCACAAGCACATCACGCCCACACTAATTTACGCAAGCGCGCGCGATCGCGCACGTACAAACACACAACACACACACACACACACACGCACACACACACACGCACACACACGCGCACATACCACACGCACACACAAACGAACAAACAACAGGGGGATGTGGGTAATAGGCCAAATAAGCTGAGACGTTTCGTTAAATTATTAGGAAAGGAAGACGATTTATTGTACCGTTCTCGACTGTTAACCCTTGTCTGAATGAATCCCCCCCCCCCCCCTCCCGCGCGAAGCGCGAAAGCTTTGACGTTTCATTAAATTATTATAAAAAGAAGACGATTTGCTGTATCGTTCTCGACTGTTAATCCTTGTCTGTCTGAATTCAGTTTCTCCCCCCCCCGCCCCCCCCCCCTCCCGCGCGGAAGTTTTGGCGTTTCATCAAATTATTAGAGAAAGTAGACAATTCGTTGAACCGTGCTCGACTCTTAATCCTTGAATGAATTCAGTTTCTCCCTGTCTCTCCTGCACGAAGCGCGGAATCTTTGACATTTCATTAAATTATTAGAGAAAGTAGACGATTTGTTAAACCGTGCTCGACTCTTAATCTTTGTCTGAATTCGGTTAACCCCTCCCGCGCAAAGCGCGGAAGTTTTGACGTTTCATTAAATTATTAGAGAAAGCAGACGATTCGTTGTACCGTTTTCGACTCTTAATAAGCCCTATTTATCTGAATTCAGATTCCCCCTCTCGCGCGAAGCGCGGAAGCCTTGAAGTTTCTTTAAATTATTAGAGAAAGCAGACGATTGGTTGTACTTTTCTCGTCTGAATTCAGTTTCCCCTTCCCGCGCGAAGCGCGAAAAGCTTAGACGTTTGATATAATTATTATAGAAAGAAGACGATTCGTTGCACCGTTTTCGACTCTTATTAAGCCCTATTTATCTTAATTCAATTCATTCAATATAACCAACGAATTCATTCATTCATAGACCTACACAAACATCACATGCATTGCAGCCCTTAAATATCATACCCTCGTCTCTTAAGTTTTAGGTGTGAACAATTGACAACCACCGAGTAGGACTTGGGCAATGCAACAGTTACCGTATTATTTATCCCTCTCAATCATATGCGTTCACAGTTTTCACACCTCTTAACAAATGTTTCTGGAATTCATATAATGATACATGTACTGTGTTTATTAATTAAATCTCATGAATGCTTTTATTTCCTCAGCCAAATCCTTTCTCAAAGTATAAAAACAATAAGAATGCGTACAGGCTTACCTTGAAATAACTGAAGAGACAAACGGCCACTGTAAGTCTTGAACACGCCAGGTCTGGAACTTCAGTCTTCATCTACCCCCCCCCCCCCTCCACACTCCGGGGTCGGAGGGACCGCATGCGCGTTCCTAAAATCTCCAGGAAAGGGGTACTTTTTCGCGCGACAAAATCCGGCCCGAGTATATTGTAAAAAAAAGGGGGGTATTTGACTTTTCACCCGGAGATTTCTTTAAAAAGGGGGTGTTTTTTTTTTCTCTCTCTCTTTGGACTCCTGAGAAATGTAAAAAGGGGTTATAAAATATCTTGAATATCATAGAAAAATTGATCAAATCCTGGGATCAAATTCCTGACATTCCTGCTAGCTTTGAAAGCTCATTCAGGATTATTTCATTTTGAAAAGTAAAAAAATTGGCCCCCAGTCCCCCTCGATCGACTAGAGCTCACCTGAAATTGGGGGGGGGGGGGGGTGGTACATTTAGCAGTGTTCCGGATTTTTTTTTTTGTTTTTTGTTTTTGTTTGGGGGGGGGTCTCCAAGGCAGGAAAAGCCAGCGAAAAGCCGGCGAAAGGGGGATTCAGAAATGTTGGCAGCCCTGAGATAGGGGGTGCTTTCAAAGGGAGGGAACGAGCATACGCGTACCCTAAATAACACTGAGTGGGGGGAGCCGGGCATCTACTGTACAAGATTGCATTTTTTAAGCGCTCGCGCGCTGGCGCACTTTACGTCTGGGCTATAATACCTTGCAAAATAACGAAAAATTATTCTGAAGTTTATGAAGTGCTTGTTCGCGCACGTTGCGCAACTACTCTTATGCGGTGGTCACATCCCGCCGTACTTGCAAGTGCGTGCTGTCTACGTGCAAAAACGTGGGCAAAATTTGGGTATCCGTACGTGATGAGTACCGCCTCCGTACGGATTTGGGAGCACGCAGACACACCGTAGCACTTTTAGTGCACGAGGAACTTTCGCTGCGTTCGGGCTGCGTTCGGGCTACCGATTCACCCCGGTGCGTGTGACGTGCGTGCCCGGTACTGCCAACGAGCGCACAACGCACTGACTCCGTGCGTCTTTTAAAGGCGCACGTGATAAGTGCGTGGTCCGTGCTTATTCGCCACTTCCCCAGTTCAGCTATCCGATGAGCACGCAGAACTCACGTGGACCGTACCGAGTAAGCACTTACAACGCACGTTGTTCGCACTGATTTATGCAGTATATAGTCTCTTCGGTGGAATGGGCGGCATCTTGAGGCAGCAACAGCTGGGACTTCTGGAGAACATCGGAATGTCGTCCTATATAAACACCGAGTTCATCGCACGTGCACGCACTTACAACAAACGAGTGTGTAAGGACACCGTACGTGAGCAGCACTTGTAAGTACGGCCTCCGTACGATAACGTGGCAACCGCACGGAGACCGTACGTTGTAAGCACGTTGTAAGCACGTACAACGCACTTACCACGTGCGCAACGTACGATGCACGCAACCGTTCATGGCCAGGCGTGGCGTGCGGGTCACGTACTTACACAGTGCGTGTGACGCGCGTTGCCGGTACTCCCTCCCTGCCTTTGCCACTCCCTCCCTACGTTTTCAGAAAAACGTGGCGGCCGTGGCCTCCCCAAAAACCGTACGGACGTAAAACATGCACGGTGGGATGTGACCAACGCTTTAATGATCGTGACATACTGTATACGTGTAGGCTATACAGTTATACATACATAAACAAATAACTCATTTCTCATGCATTATGCTGAAATTGAATCAATCACCTTTTTTTTTCTTCTTCTTCTTCTTCCTTTTGTTCTCTCTTTTTTAAAGTAATATCAGGGGGGATGTTTGTACAGGCCATCCCCCCTACTTCAAGCCAGGGGGATGCAGCCCCCCCCCCCCCCCATCCCCCCCCGGAAGTCCTGTCCCTGACGCGATGTAGAACACATTTCTCCATACTAGAGGGTCAGACTACATCAATATAAATTTGAACAACATATCAAAGTGTCTCAGTGCAATACATAAAATACCATTTTAACTTAGTTCTTACAGCCTAGCAGCTTCGATAGACCGAGGGTTCTATGGCTTTTGTGTCTTGTTTTTCAAGTAGTATGGTATCCCAAACAAATTAATAATGACCGTTGTTTGTAATTGATAATTTTTCATCAAATGATAATCTGGAAGAGTCCAAAAAAGTCAACATCAACACACTCTTTGTATCAAACATTTCAGAGGAATTTTGTAAACATCGCACAAGCGTAAAAGAATTTACAGAAAGTAAAAAAATATTTATTTCCAGTCATTATGATTGTTCTCAACTTTGAAAACGGTGAACATTAGCTGGCGCTGTTTTTATAAAATTGTTACCAACAATTCAGTATACCCTGTAGATGTGCACTTTAATTGCCTTCCTTTAATAATCTTCTTGAATCGAAATCTTTTGAGGCTAAGAGCAAATTGTGGATTTCGTTTCTATATTTCGTTTCTACTTTACGAAGGAGAAAATCATTGTGATACATCGCATTATAAACTTAAATTGCAGGACTCGTAGTGATTATAGCCACCGCGACTCGAGTCGGTTTTGCTGTTTGCAAAACTGAGAAATGGATGAAATGACTAAATTTCCAAGCCCCATGATTGAGGAGTACCCGTTTCTAGGTGATGTGCATGAATTAGTCAGCAAGATTAAGACAATGTCTTTTACATTTCGATCACTCCAAAACCTCGCAGTATACGACACTTCTTATGTACTACGTAATCGACCTTTCCAATTACTTGAAGACAGTTTCTTTCACGCTGTAATCGCATCAACAGTTAAGAAAAAGTAAAGATTGAGCACACTAAACCTTTTTGTTTGATGATAATTGTGTGCTTTCTTTGGTCTCACATCTTGTCTCACCAGCGTTTGTCACTCCCTCCTTTCTTACCATTTTCAGTCTCTCTCCCTCTCTATCTCTTCTCTTTTCTCTCTTTCTTTCTCTCTCCCTCTCTCTCTCTCTCTCTCTTCTCTCTCTTTCGTTGTTCTCTTTCCCTCCCTCTCTCTCCAGTCTCTTCTCTCTCCGTCTCTCTCTCTCTTTCTATCGTCCCTTGCTCTCTTCTCTCCCTCTCGTCTCTTCTCTCTCTCCTACTCTATTTCTCCCACACATCCACGACCAGGGGCGGATCCAGCTGGCGACAAGAGGAGGGGGGGGGGGATTCGGGAGAAAATAGCGGCTACTCAGCCAGCCAGCAACCAAGCAGTGCGGGGGGGGGGGGGGTAAGAGCACTTTTTTGTTGGCCCCCGTGGATCCGCGTCTGTTCACGATCCCTCCATATAAAATGTCACAAATTTACAAATGTTTAAAGTTACGTTCGTTTGTTTTTTCGCATTTATTACATTTATTCATACAATGATATAAACCAATATGACAAATTTGCTAAAAACATGATTTATATAACGAAAGACTTTCATACATAGTATTAGTAATTTCTTGTTCTTTTATGTTACTATTCCTCTGCATGTAATCTATAATCAGCCTTGAAGTATCGTAGTTTATTGGTTCATTCACTTGACTCGAATCAAAAAGAACATCGTAAACAACATTCACTGGTTGAAGAAAAAAAAGGAAAACGCTAGAAGAAATAATGCCAGAGGCACTGACATGAAAAAGCCGGTAGATAAATGCCGGATTAAACCTTTAATCTTTATATTGCTGGGCCCAGCATTCAAAACTTGTACATTTACTATTTTGAAAATGAAGAAAGGATAGGATAAACTCCATCTTTCTTCGGCACTTTAAAATGTTGTTTTAAATATTTTTTAAAGCCCCTCTGTACTATTGTGACCAGGAGGGATTAGAGGGAATATCGTGGTCTCATCAACTCAGCTCTCAATTAACATAAATAAGAGAGGATCACGGGGGACCAACGGGTACCGCTTAGGCATTTTTCTCTATACATGTATAGAGGGAGCAAGTAGCTATAAGTAGTGCAGTGAACATTATTGATGGTTTACTGGACGGAATCTTGCGCATTGACGTAGCCAGGGTTGTAGATAGGATACACTTCATCTTTCTTCAAGCTCTCTTTGTCTTCTAGTTCTATCTCGACTTCTCTGGCCCATTCCTGTTCCTCTCCCGACCCGAAGATGTGGAAGAAGACGGCGGCAAATGCTGCGATCGCAGATGCGATGTAGAACACATTTCTCCAGCCTGCGGGGTCATACTGTAATGACAAAACCCACTCAATCACAATGGAATAATTATTTAAATGTCAATGAGCTATTATAGGGCTTACAGAAATCCTGTTCAGTTTGCGTAGTACACTGTCATGTTCGCATTTTCAATAAATAATCGGCTAGGAAAATGAAATTGCTTTGGGTTGATTTTTCGAAAGTCTTTGTGATCGTTTTGGTAGGCAAAGGAAACTGAATAACTCTAAACATCATGGTACCATCCTGGCCTCTGATGAATGATAATGATAATATGCAATATTTTTTCCAATATTACCCTCCAATATTGCCCCTGCTCTATCTCGGCTACATATTGTAGTGCTCAAAACATTCAAGAATCCCTTTTTACCAGGTACCAATTCAAAAACTGGGCGGAGAGTGGCAAATATAGAGTAATGTCTTGCCAATGGACTATAGTGCCTCGTCGGGGCTCAAACCTACACTCTTCTGAAAAGTGGGACCATCCTCTAATGTGAAACGGCTGACAAAATGATCAAAATGATCATAATGATCACATAGTGTCGTGATATAGTGGTCCATTCCCTTGACTCTCAATCCGAGGGTTGACGGTTCGAATCTCGGCCCGGCACTAAGGCCCTATTAATCCATATTTACCACTATCCATCCAGGTATACATGGGTACCTTGCAATCGCTGGGGTAATATTAATTGCAGGGCCCTCAGGAAGAACATCATTGATGCTGATGAGGCTTCCCTGTGTATTCAATAAAATTATTGGTAGTAGAGTAGAAAGCCTACCTGATCGACAATCAGCAGTCCGGTTATTATCGGCGATATAAAACTTGCCGACATCCCCAGAGTATTGGAGATTCCATAGAGAGTACCGGTTGACCGCGGCGCCAAATCAACCGTATTTGAGAAAACCGCTGGATAGGCTACACCCGTTCCTATGGTTGCGATTATCATCAGTGCCAAACCGACGTAACGGTTACAAACAAGAAAGGCAACGGGAATAAGTGACCCAGCTATTAATATAGCACCTGCAAATAAAAGACGAATAGAAAAAAATATATTAAGGATAACCCTAAACAAATGCTAGTGTATACTTTCTTTAAAACTAGCTTATCAACAGGTGTTTCCTTAATTAAACGATATTTTTCCATGCTCTCTGGGGCTTAGAACTTAACCAAAAAACTATTGCATATTATTAAATAACTCTTACATTTTTAGGGAGAAACAACATTCTCATTGCACATTGTTTTCGATGTACACAACAGTGTCCGGTTCAGAAATGGATTCATGGATTTTCTCAGTTATGTATCTATACTATATCATACTACATGTACTAAACTTAACGGCAAGGGATAAGTGTCAATAATTGATGCAAAAATATAAACAAAGTCAAAGAGATGGCATATTTACAATGATTAATTACCATTTTAGAACAGTTCAGGACAATCTTTTAGGACAGTTAATTACTTTTGGGCGGAGTCGGGAAAGATCAATATGATCACTGTGGTGGCTTACAGGAGCATATTTAATCCCTAGTCTAGATTTTCCAATAATTTGGGATTAGCATGATCATATTATCAACGTAATTTTCCCCGTCGCAAGGTGAATTTCGGGGAGGGGGAAGTGGATCACATGTTAAATATTCGGCGGGAAATAAAACATACCAATGTCTGCTGTTGCCTTCCGAACCAGTGTAACACTAGTCCCTCGACCAATGAGATAGTCAGATATCTGTGACGTCATTATAACCGTAAGCATTTGGCAGATGTAAGGAACAGAAGCTAGAAATCCGACCTTCGATGACAAAAAAAGAAAAGAAAACACTTTGATTTTGAACGAGAACTTACTTTTTACATTTTTTTTGTGGATTATATTTAAAGATTGTTTTCTTTTTAGGGTGGAATTAAGTATGATGTAAATATCGTAGAACAATAATTATGACAACATGATATAATGATGTGGTGATGAAAATGATGGTGAGAATGATCATGATGATGATTATAATGGTGGATGTGATGATGGTGATGGTGGTGATGGCGATGATGATAATGGTGATGATGGTGGTGATGATGATGATGATAATGATGGTGATTTCGGTGATGATGGTCATGATGATGATGATGATGATAATGGTGATGATTATGGTGGTGATGATGGTGATGGTGATGGTGGTGATGATAATGGTGATGATGATGATTATAATGGTGGATGTGATGATGGTGATGGTGGTGATGGCGATGATGATAATGGTGATGATGGTGGTGATGATGATGATGATAATGATGGTGATTTTGGTGATGATGGTCATGATGACGATGATGATAATGGTGATGATTATGGTGGTGATGATGGTGATGGTGATGTTGGTGATGATAATGGTGATAATGGTGGTGATGGTGATGATGATGATGGTAATGGTGATGGTGGTGATGAAAATGATGATGGTGGTGATAATGATGATGATAATGATGGTGATGATGATGATGATGATAATGATGATGGTGGTGATGATGATGATAATGATGGTGATGATGATGATGATGGGGGTTGTGATAATGATGGTGATGATGATGGTGTTGATGGTGGTGATGATGATGGTGATGGTGGTGATGATAATGATGATGAAGAATACATCTTCCAACCTCTTCGACCGAAAAGTTATCGCCTTACCTCTCTCACGGTGAACCCTAGGATGTATTTCATAAAAATAGGAAGATTGGTGAGAAGTGTTCCAACAACCCAGCCCTGGATGCAAAAACGGATGATGATTAATGCGTACACTGGAGGTGACGTCAGAACTTTGCAGATCGGGTATGGCTTCAGCGTGGGATATGATGAAAGACAAAGACAGACAGAAAAAAGGAAGGAAATCATAACAAAATGGTATTGTCTTAAAGAGGGATAATTATACTGTCAATTAGTATTTTTTTTAAAGCGAATATTATCCTATAACAAGAGACATACAGACAAACCTGTCTACAGCGACCGCCCAAGAAAAACACAAAAAGTGGTCTTTGTAGATAGGTTTCTTTAGTACATGTTTCAATGAGAAACCATTTTCAAGGGAATCAAGAAATGTGCTTGAGTGTTGGAGACAGGTGGACTTTGCAGACAGGTGGTCACTAAAGCAGATTTGACTGTATAACCTATCAAACTTGAGTTTCCAAACTTCTTTTCAGGGGTTTACTTCTCAGTTTTTAACATTCAGTATGCACATCCTTAGTGTCAACATTAAATTATGTTTTTCCACTCTAAGAACCTAATGCTGCATTTCTTAACAGGCCGACATCAGTGACTCATTTAAGAATCTGAAGTCTTTTGATTTTGATATGCCTATTCCACATTACGTACAACTAGTCACTATACATGCAGTTTTTCCCAGATGAATCATGGGACATATTCAGTAGTTTTTCAGTATCAGCGTTTTTTATTAGAAAACTACTTCAGTCACACCGCCCAACCGACTCCACATCGACCGACTATTGGTGGTAATGTAATTTTGTGTATACGGTCTATAGTCGGGCTGGGTCGGGCTGGGTCGGGCTGCGTCGGACTGGGTCGGGCTGGGTCGGGCTGCGTCGGGCTGCGTCGGGTTGGGGTCGGTCTCGTTGATGTGACTGAGGTATAACGCTCTACGAAATTGTATAACTAACCTTCTTTGAATTGTTATCCTTTTTAGTTTGCATGTCATCATTCTGAAGCTCTTCTTCAATCGAAGCCGTTGAAACTCTTGGTTGCTCCTCAATTAAGAGTCCCCAAGTCATAGCCCAAAAGAGAGCGATTGAACCTTCATTACACATTAAAAAAAACACAGGTTGGAATGACAATTTAAAAATGTTGCAGCAGATTTTTTCACATGTTGCACATGTCTTAGAAATGCACCTTCATTATCATCATCATCAACATCATCATCATCTCATCATCATCACCACCATCATTTTGATGACATTGGGAAGAAAAGGAGATTTACTCTCTTTGCACTATTGCACTCATTCCTATTAAGAGTCACATAATATAATGTCTCAGAGTGATTATGATTGATGTATATATACATGTACATTAAACAGAGGAGAAAAGTTCCCAGGAATGAGTGAAGTTGTGATAATGTATATAAATATTGCTTTTCTGTCAAGCATACGTAAGCTTTTGGGCCCAACTGTCACTATGAACATAACTGACAAAGAAAGCGGACAAAATATACAGTTCCTCAGGTACAAAAAGGAACATCCCTTCACTGCTATTATGTACAAATGTGTAGAACAGGTGTCACATGCATATTCACCTTTTTACATAATAGCAGTGAAGGGATGTTCCTTTGTCTACCTGAGGAACTGTATATTTTGTCCGCTTTCTTTGTCTGTCATTTTCATAGTGTGTATACATGGCATATTCCACAAGAACGAGCGTGGATCTTGTCATCCGAGATATCGTCCGGTAACAATCAATATGTATTTAAGTATAATATGGGGCTATCTACTTCCTTCAAATTCATCCCTATTCTCTTCAATAAATTTAACAAAATGCATATAGTCTGGCCCTGAAACTGCCCACCCCCCCCCCTCCCCTTCCCACAATGCAGCAGCGATGAATTAGGTCTCATGCTGATGTCATACTTTCTTTTGTATTGACTTCTGATTTCTATCCCCACCAGATTAGATAATAAAAACTGATGATAATAATGGCACCTTGTTGTATAGCGCTCTTATCCATCTCACCCTGACGCTCTTGGCGCTCCAACATTATTTCCCCGGTCATAGCCGACGACCAAATTTGTAGAGGTCCTGTATATCGCGTACCCATTACTACCTTGGTAGAGAGTGGCAAATATGGACTCACAGGGACTTTTCGATTTGCACGTCGACATAGTGGACTGCTACGTGTGAAGTCCTTTTAAAGCACTATGACGTCCGTTTAAGGCACTGTCATTGCCTTAAAAGGACGTCACACGTAGCAGTCCACTATGTCGACGTGCAAATCTAAAAGTACCTAATGTCTTGCCAAGGGAAATTAGTGCCGGCTGGGATTTGAACCCTCAACCCTTTGATTGAGAGTCGAGAGAATTGACCATCATACAGCGGATACTCCACTGGGAGGTTAAGTTCCTAGTCAGGAGGGGGTGAAAGGATACCCCTTTAATGAAAATAGAAGAATATCTTACCTAAGATGTAAAAGGAGAATGGCCAACCAAGCCAGGGTGTGGAGCATATCAGACCAGATAGCATCTGTCCTACCGCCAATCCGAATGGAGCCCCTATATTTTGAAGAGCAATTGGTCTATCACAAAATTCGATCATCAGTCAACATTTAATATCCTTATTATCCCTCATTGAAAATTATTTGTATATTGATTGAGTAATGATATAATAATACTTTACTATTACTACTAACACTACCACCACCACCACCACCAAAACCACCAAACCCACAACCACCACCACTAAAATTACTACTACTACAACTACTACTACTACTACAACGTCTACTTCTACTACTACATGTACCACTCTACTACTACTACTAGTACTAATACAGGGCCCGCGCTAGGGCTCCAGCCCCCCCCCCCCCAGCCCCACCACTTTTTTGAAGAAGTATGTTAAAGAAGCAAAAAAATCCCCCCAAAATCTGCTAAATGCGAGACCACATTTTTTACCTAATAGCGCTTTTAAGCGATTTAGCGAATCGAATTCAGCAAAAAAGCGCGAATAAATAGCAATGCGAGAAGTAAAAACACGGAGGCATCTTTAAGCATGTTGGCAAGGCTTCCTCATTCGGCAGTTTGTGGATTCATAAAGTCAGTTCCGTAAAAGCGATTGTAAAAGCCTAATTTGTTCAGAAAATTAGACACTTATTCGCTAGAATCTTGTCTATATTTTCTTCTTCTTTTTCAAACTGCGCTTTATAACGAACAAAATTAGTCTCATGCACATCGTTTATATCTATAAGTGTCATAGACTCACAGATGGGTCGTTACTGTTACACTATATGGACAAATTGGATAGATGTATTATCATTGAAATTTTAATCAGTATACGATGCAAAAATGATTCTTCTCCAGCTTCCGGAAACCAACCTGGGAATTTACTCACCGCTTTTGCCAAATTTGTGCGTGAGATTTGGTTTTTGGTGAGTTCGGGACGCAAAAACGCAACCAATGCTCTACAAAACATGCGCATGTACATAGGCAAATTGTTGAAAATGGCATTTAATTCGGCTGACTAAATTTCTCAAAACTCTTTGATATTTTTTACATGAACACTGACACCTACATTAATGTACATTAATACATGCAGTTTTTGTGAGTTAATTAAAAAAAGGTCCACATAATGAAAATATAACCAATACTCAGCAAAATAGCTGAATCAAAACCACTGCTCCTGCATAATAAACACGATCTTTGTCTCCGGCTATGAGAAAGTTCAGTGCCAGACCACTCGGATTGATCATTGTCATGACATATTTCATGACAACAAAATAGTTGAATCTGAATTTAATAGAAAGGAACATGCACAAAAGGTAGGATTGTTTGCATGGAAAGTATTTTGTTTGAATAGAAAATGCCATATCTGCATGTACACATGTATGAGTGAGATTTCCATGTATTGTCACTTGTAATAATAATAATAAAAATACTTCTACTTATACAGTGCGTCCCAGAAAAAAACGAAACAGAGAATTATCGATGTTTTATCATAAGTTAATCTCATATGATGCATATTTCACGCATGAATGATTAAAAACAATTTGAAGAGAGGAAACTAAAAAGTCATTTTTAGGGTGGTATCTGAATTGCAAAGAGAAATCACATTTCTAGATATTTCATTTTCTGCCCTTTCATATGACACCTCAACCGGGAAAAATGAGCAAGGAATAATAAAGTTCTGTTGGTTTAAAGTAATGCTTGCTTTTCCATAATTTGATTAAACAAATTCATTTTCAATTGCTGCCTGTCGTAGCAACAAACAGAGTTGACAAAAGACTTCAATCGTCAAGTGCCCTTTTTGTTCGCCCGCCCCCCCCCCCCCCCGACTTTGAATGACGCCCGCCGCCCCTGGACTGCTAAAACCCTTGAGCTTCCGGAGGCTCCGCCCCATGGACCCCACGCCGGTTTACGCTACGCTCTACCTGATCGTAAATACTTTAGCCCCCCCCCCCCCTCTTTGAGAAACGTTCCGCGAGGCCTGTACTACTTCCACCACCACCAATACCAACACTTCTATACGTCTACCACCTTCACTACTTCTATTACTACTACTACTACTACTAATACTAATTCTACTATTACTACTACAACTATCACTTGTTATCATACTATCGCTAATTAAAGTTTATTCAAAGAGAAAATTCATATATATCTACAGTGAAATTAGAGTTGGAATAGCAAGTAAGCATATAAAAATGTATATTAATGAAGGAAAATGTTAATCAATCTAAGAATCTAGGTCAAGGTAAAGAATATTTACCGGCAAGGGCAAATGATGATATCCTTGTATTTGTATCAACTGTTGACCATTTTCCAATCATTGTGAACATAGCAGGGATAACAGTACCCTGAACAGGGGGAAATTAAAAAAATACATTGAGACACGTAATTTTATAATAAATTACAAAGCCTCGTTCAGAATGATATGACGTGGTCGGCTTACCACGTCATTTGAACGTAGCCTTTTGTCGATGGCCCTAGCGTTGTTGGATTCCGTAAATTCTGGCTTCGCTCGCTAGAATTTACGGAATCCAACAGCGCTAGGGCCACCGACAAGAGGCTATCTGAACGAGGCTTACGAGTGGAATGAAGCAGCAGATCCTCACAGTCCAGTTTCTCTACAAAGATCCATAGTTTAACCTATGAGTCTTTGCGGATGAAGCAAATGAAGATGTGATAATGTTGAACATAACGCGTAATGACACTGTCTACATGGAGACATTAGAGGCTTGTTCAGACATGGCGCGATAATTTGACACTAAAATGAACCGCCGCGATTGTTATGTGTACAATGAATGGCAACTACGAGCAACACAGGACTTGTCCATATTTACTAAGCTCTGTGTCTTAACTCATAGCCTGCCATAAGGCTGCATGCACGCTACCGTTATAGTGCTTTGTACATGCGAGTGAGCCATTGCTTCGCTGCCTTGTGCATGCTTGCACGCATTCGTAATAGCAGTTACTGTTCATGGTCATTGTTCTGTGCTGTGTGTTTTGCACGCGCTATTCATAGAACCATCGTGTTAATCAGATTATCTCAAAATAAACCTGGCACGGGTGGATTTGGGGCTTGGGCTTGTGAAGCGTATCACACTTTACGTCATCATGAAAAAACGCCGCGGTTTTTCCGCGTCATCTCTGCATGAACGAACCTCAAGTGATCTGCATAATTTTGACTTTGTTTGTATTAAAATGGGCTTTCTTCTTTCAAGATATAGTTATGTTCAAACATTAATGATTAAAGACAAGGTCGTTTTCTAGTAAAGATGAAAAATGCGAGCTTTCTCGATCTTTTTCTATCATCTTGGAAGAATATCCAATTAGAAGGTTATAGTACGGCTTCCGGTGACGTAATTATCTGTTCTTGAATGCCTATGATCATTTATTGACCTTGACAAGTATTTTCTAACCTCAGCGAGTCCAGCCATCAACCGAACTACGAAGAAATAAGCAACTCCTGTCCTCGCCGCTACGGGTACTAGCATATTCATTGCGGCAGTCATCACAGCTCCGACCGTTACTACCCATTTCCCGCCTACTCTATCGGCGAGCCAGCCACCAAAGAGCTGGGTTATGGGAAGCCCGATGAAGAAAGCTGAAAGAAGAAGCTCCTGTGTTTGACTGTTCCATGTAAATTCAGCCTGCATTCAACAGATAATCAATTAGATTATTTCAATTGGGCATCATAATAGATCTCTTTTTATACTTCGAAATTCTTTGTGAAGAAATATAAAGTCTTATCACATATCCAGGTGCCTGTTAGGTGCAGACGGGGGCACAGTTAAATGGCGCCTTTTCCCTCAGTGCCGCCCCTCCTCTGGGCCGATCCACTCCCACTGATGAAGGAAAACCTGGACACGCCTAGATAACGAACGTACCAACAATCAAATAAACATAGCGTTTGAATATACAGCGATAAAAGGAAACTATTAAAATAAGGATAATTTTGTTATTTCATTGCTCTGTAAAATGTGAAAAATTGACAAATAGATGTTACTTATTGAATTAAATTGAAATGAAATGATTACCTTTACATCTGTATCATTTGTATCCTCCATGCTAGCTACATTGATACACGCGTGCGTGGAATAGTTTTGATCATGTGATAAGTTTCCTTGCTTGTGATTGGTTACAGCCATTGCGGTGATGGCGACGCTAGGATTGACACGCAAAGAATCCATGCTGGTCACGCCCACAAAACACATGGCAGCAAAGAACATTCTCGAGTTTGGACGCCATCTTCTTTTATCTTCCGAGGGTGCTAGAGATCAATAACAGGAAGCAAATCAAATAAATTAGATCGATCAGTTCTGTCTAACACTCTCCAATTTAGTTAAAGTAAATTGCTAATTTCTATAAAACAACGACGTGCAGGCTTATTCTCTTTCATTTTAAGATACATTTACAAAGAATGGAGAAATTATTTTACCTGATAATATTGCTTAGTACAGAAAAGCGTGGAAGTAAAAAATAATGCTTAAATCGTATTGAATTAAATAAACAAAACAAAATGTTATCTGAATTCCCTTAGAATGAGAAATTTTAGTTATAAAAAGAACATTAGTTGTTTTAACGAGATACACATTATTCTAATCCTTATGCTTTTATAGTTTCAGCAATTTCCCTTACAGTTAGCCAAGCAATGTCTTATCATCTTAATATTTGAATAAAGATTTTTTTAAAAAGATTTTTCTTAAGCATGTATATAGCCCGGGGGGGGGGTACTCACATATTAGGACATACGGGGGTGTGCCGCTCTAATGGGTCACCTTTTCACTAAAAATCCTAAACATGGGTCCCACTTTTAACAAAAATACCATTACAAATGGGTCCGTTTTTTCAACAAAAAAAAATTGAAACACCCGAAAATTTTGAAGAATGGGTCTTTTTTTTCGAGACAAATGACCCCTAATAATGGATATGGGTTTCGAGGCTTGAGCGGCACACCCCCGTCCACACCAAATCTGAGTATCCCCACCCCCTCCCCCCCCCCCCCCGGGGGGGGGGGTTATAGTCGGGACTGTAACCATTCTAAATAAAATGAAAATAAATTATTCGGCACCCAATTATCTGTGAAAGGAAATTTGAATGAAGAAAAAAAAATAAGTGAGCTATAGACATGATCAAACGAACACTCACCCATTCCTGTTTAAATTATTTAGCAAGGTTTTAATTGTTTGTAGGTCACTCAGGTCAAATCCACTTGTATAAAACCTGACATCTGCTGAGGGTGCCTACATGATTGAGAGTCAAATAGGGAAACTATTATACATCTACGATCTACATTTAAAAAAATGCACACACACACACAAACACATGCCTACTGCCACACATTTCCACCTATTTCCGCCATTTTCCACCATTAATATAATAGTGCAGATTGTGATTTTTAAAAACAGGTATTCATGCCCATTACAGCGACTTGTTTTTTGTTAAGTGCGATGTTCTAATGCACAAAATGAATAGGATATCGAGTATTTTATATTTTATAGGTTTACCAACGAATTTTGAATTTCTGTGTCATTGTGTCACGACTATCAAATTCTGTTGTCCTTTAAACGTTGAAAGGATTCTGCAGTAGAGCAATAATAATTTTCGATAGCGTGTCGATCCATACTTGTTAACAAGTATCAGGTGGTCTGTCTTCGAATTCTGTTATGAAAACGAGGATGACGATGAAGAGCATGATGATGATGATGATGATAAATAATGATGAATATAATGTAATTTTACCAAGTATGTTACTACGTTTCCACATGATTGGCGATGCCGTTTTCAAATTAAAGCCACGTTGGAAGGACTTTTTGACGATCTGTTGTCGTGACGCCATTGATATTCACAGAACTGATTAGGACTGTTTAGGACATGTAAAAAGTTTTAAGGCGTTTGACTGAGCAGATATAAACTTAATGCCGTAACCATGTTTTGACGATCTGTTGACGCAACGTTGGTGTGACGTCATTCATCTCAATATATTTTGCAGTTCTTAGGAACTGATGAAGATTGGCCCCTAGTAAAATAGTACAGTGATATTCAGTTTATGTATCCCCCTCCCCAGCGCTCAAAATACACGGGGGCGGTGGGCGATTCGCCCTCGTGAGCCACATAATCGCCCCCGTCAGGTTGCTCACGGGGGCGATTGCAAAATTAAAAATCGCCCCCATGGAATTATAGAATAAAGATTATCTTTTCTGTTATAAATTTAACACAATATTTAGTTTCAATTTTCAAACCTTAAACCAATGAAACGGAACTTAGATTAGCGTGCAAGATTTCCCGTTCTATGTGGCCTATTAATTATTACCGATTCAGCTTGCAGTGCAGTGCCGCCGTCAGCAGTGGTTATATAGGCCTACTGCGCCGTTAGTAACGGTACGTGTGCACGCTGCCGCGCCATGTCTGCTGGAGCTGGAGGCGATCGCGCAAGGGCAGAAACATGGTCATGGAGAAGTTTTTCGTTGTGAAAGCGTAAACCCGCTAAAATCTGGTAATTTTAAATGACCAGCAAATAATGAACCACGACCAGTAAATCAATATAAGGGACTTTTAGATTTGCACGATGAGAACGTGGACTGCAACGTGTGACCTCCTTTTAAGGCACTACCAGTGCTTAAAAGGACGTCACATGTGAGGGGGCTGGATAAAGACACATATATTTGTTTTGGGGGGGTCCAGTTTTTTGGGAACATTTTTGAGCCGACTCAGCCGGCCGGTGAATATTAAAGCGGGGGGATGCTGGAGAGGAGGACTACTAATCTATTTTATTTTTTTTCAAGGGGGGGGGGGAGTGAAGCGCCGTTTTAGCATGACATTCTTTTTAACTCTTACTTTCACCTATCTCAGATAACCCTAAGTTTTTGGTTGCTGCTTTATGTAGTTGATAATGCATGATTAAAATAAAAAGAGAGAGAGAGAGAGGGGGGGGGGGAACCACCATCATTTTGCAATGGTTCAGGGTTTGTGTAATGTACATTTGAAACCATTTCTTAGCGTCTCAACCCTAAAAAAATAGCAAAACTATTTTTGAGGAAAATCATTATACTGAACTGAATAAAGAATAATAGCTTTATATTGGCTCATACTAATACTGATACGAGCTAAAGTATTTGTATAGAGGTATTCCAAAATGACATTCTGATAATCAATATTTTGTTCTGGTATCATATACGCATAATACAACTGATCTCTATGATTTCTTAACGTGACATAGCTTCTTCTCCCCCTGCAAACAAAAAAGAAAACAAGGTTATTTAATAAAAGAATCATACGACAAATAATCATTGTGATTCAAATTTTTGCAAGAATTTTTTTGAATAAGCAATGCTTTTCACCAGAATCTTCTTTGAAAAAACGACTTTTACAAATCACAGCCATGCAAATCTGCCACTGTGTTGTAAGATCACTTTCAGATTAGGAGAAATGTATTCTTTAATGAGTATTTTACATTGAATGGAACGTCTCAACTCAGTAAGCATGGCAGAGATTTGTAAAAGTTGTTTTTACAAAGAAGATTTGGGTGAATAGCTGTACTTATTCAAACAAATATTGGCATCAATTTGAATCACAATCATTATTTGTCGCTTAATCCCTTTTAATGACCTTGTTTTCTTTCTCGTTTGAAAAGGGGAGAAGAAGATAGGCCACGTTAAAGACATCATAAAGATCAGTGTTGTATGCGTATATATTATATACACAGGCCCCGCGGAACGTTTATCAAAATGGGGGTCTAAAGTATTTACGATCAGGTAGAGGGTAGCGAGCGTAAATTGGTGGGGGGGGGGTTCAGAGATTTTAGGCATTTAATTACGGTCAGAGAAGCACAAATATTTTGATGCCGCATTTGTGTCACTGGCAGGTCAGGGGGGGGGAGGCGTTTTCTACTTTATTTCTTAAGGTAAAATGTACGTTACTATCCTATTTTTTACCGGTTTGTGAGGCTAGGGGGGGGGGGGGGCGGGCCGGTATAGAATCGGCCCGTCGATCCGCGCCTGTCCAAAATAGCACACACATAAAATCGCCTCGCCGCTACGCGGCTCAGTAAAGAAAGAATGTAAAGGTTGCTCCGAATAATGAGGAGGAAATAATGTGCAGAACGGGAATAAATCGAGAGAATGTCATCAGGGGATGAAAGTCAGTAACAGCTATGTAGCTTGTATGGATATTTGTATAAACAAGAGCCCCCGTCAGTACTAAAAGAGCCCATGTGAGAAGGCTCACGGGTGCTCTTTTTGGGGGGAAGAGCCCCCGTGGACAAAAAATTAATTTGAGCCCTGCCCCTCCCCCACCTCTGTTAAATTCAACTAAAAGACCATTGCAATTAAGGGAAATTATGGAGGTTGGAAATTATACAACGAAACAATCTTATTTACACTTTGAATATTTATATATTCAGTTATATGAAAAGCAGAAGTCAGGGTCAACGTATGCCGTTATAGGTAAACATAATCAAGAGTTTATAGACTAAATGGCATTTTCAAAATAACAACGTGAAAATCAATCTAACTTACCATGCAGTGGATCAGCGGGAAAACAGGCCGTATCGATGAAGAAGAAAACTACACTGTATCATTAGATTCAAATTGTCAAAGTCGACTAACTCACAATTCCACTACCAGTGCCATATAGCCCGCATAGAAAAGTAATTTCTATTATGTTAAAGCTATTTATTTGAATGTAGGTCATGGCATACACAATCGAGTGTGTACACAATCATAATCCAATACCTAACTTACTAAAAACGCTCGCGGGGTAAAAACCGGAAGTCTGAAAAATCGCTTGAACGCTCTCCCGCAGTAACCGTGTCTCGCCGTGATTCATGTTTTTAATTCTAGCTTCGAAAAATCTTTTGACCGCCCCGGGGGGAGGGGGGGGGGGGGTCAGTCACATACCAATGTGGTACGCGAGCTCGTCATAAAAAACGTCGAAAAAGGGTCGATTTTTGGCCTTGTGGCGTCGTCGACGTTTTTAGGTTAAGTTTCGACGTTTAGGGTATCTTTTTTCAACTTCAAGTTCGACGTTTAGGGTCACTTTTCGGCCATGCCAGCACCGACATATTTCTTTGCGTGTATACTACCCATGTCTCTTCAAAATTAGTTCCTCCGAAGAGATATATTTCCCTTGATTTTTCTAGTCTCTACGCGGGGCTCTATACGCCAAGACTTTGAATTACCTGGGTTTGCAGCGGGTTTGCAGCCTGGTAATTTGCAATACTTTCAATTTAAGGGGGTTGTTTTTAGAGTTTACGCCATTTAGGGGTCAATTTTAGAGTTTACGCCGTTTAGGGGTCCATTTTTTTTTTCTTACGCCATTTAGGGGTGAAATACGTACGTACGCCAATAAGGGGCGTAAGTTCTACACTGATTACGCCATTTAGAGTCCATTTTTGAGGTGCTGTGACGAGCACGCATACCACTTTCGTATGCGAGTTACCCCCCCCCCCCCCCCCCCCGGTATGAACGCGCCCTAGCACGACACGACACAACCTCCGGAGGCATCCGGGGTAAAAACCGGAAGTCTTCTCGTTATGAAGCGCGCGCCCGTGCTCTACGCGGCTGTAGCAAAAGGGCGCGCTTACGTGTTACCATGACAACGTAACTCGCGATTACCGCCGACGTGCATTATAATGTAAAGGTAATACAAAGTTTTGGGAAATTTTGAAGATTGGGTGGATAGTGATTCTTTACAACTATGATATATTTGGATGCCCCTGTGGATGTTTTATAAGCACTGGAAAATGTAGCCCCTAAATCACTTCTGCTTTCGAGAAAAATTGAAGACAAAACTTTAACGGTGCTCCCGGTAAATTTTGATGAATCTAAAATAGCGCCTACGGCCGTACAGTGGTAGCTGTGACCATGACAATCTCAGAGTATGTAGTTGTTTTATAGGCCTCATGTATTCCAAACGGGAATAGCTAATCGGTCAATTTTAGTCAAGAAAGATTGTTTTATAGGTAAATTAATATCTTGACCTTGAGAGGGAGCTATACAACATCAGAGTTTATCATTTACAATTTCATAACTTTAGACTCGATTTCAACCGCGACAACGATCACTGAATATTGTAGGATCGCATATGCTTCCAATGTGTTCATTTGAACCAAATTCATGACCCCATACCAAAACTTTGTATTACCTTTAAGCGCCATAGTGTCCAACTCGTACTGAGATGGCCAATCAGTGTGCACAGTTGACTCTCTCTGTGCTTATGGACAGTGGAAAATAATTATCACGGATTTGGGGTATTTTTACCATTTTCCACTCACTCTTGAATGTTACAATGTGCATTAATATGCATGATAAAAGCACAGTAGAAATATTTTCCTTTGCAATTCGTTGGAGGCATTTCCATATAACAACTATTGAATCATTTTCACACAGAACTTTCGCTCGACGAAGATGTGATGGTCTTACATCTTGGAGACACGGGGGTTAAAATTGACCAATCAAAACGATTCTTATATGGTTGGAAAGATAAAATTACATAGAAAATGAATGTTTCAAGCTAAACAAAATTAAAGAGGGCGGCATGCCAAATTGTGACATGGTAATGTGACATGTGTACTATATTATGTTGGATACTTATGGAAAATATTTTTCAAAATATGTCTGTTTTTATCTTGTATGAGACAATGTACTATGTTTTACCGTAAGAAAAATCATGTCCTTCTTTATAATGCAAAAATACTTTTAGCTAAAAAAGCTCTGTCGCCGGACCCGTTGATTTTACACAGAAAACGAGCTGAAAGTACCAGTAATTTGACTACTTTAAACAATAAAACACAATAGTAAATCATTATGAAATTGTCATTTGTTTGCTTTACTAGAAAAATATATAGTCTTTTTCGTATTATAATAGTCAAACTAGGCATATTTTGTACTTTTACCAGAATGGAGATGGATGTAAAAAAAAATTAAAAGTGTTTTTACGCCATTCTCCATAGAATTTTTTTTGCTAATACTAAAACAGGCACTGTTCATTGACCCAAACGTTTTGATATGGTCATGATAATTGGGGTCCTGTATCAGTTCGAAATTTTATTCAGAATCAATGGAAAGACGGGTATTGTCACCCAAATTATTTGTAAAAGCACAGCAGTTGCAAGTTCAAATCAGGGAGTCATGCAGGTAAAGGGGGGATATTTTTTAGTAGGGTGCAAGGCGCCAACGAACGATCGTAAGAAGGACGTGCGAATCGCAGGAGTTGGCTTATGATCCAACTGCAACTCCCGTTTGCAAAAAGGGGCTCGGCGGGTTGTGAACCAATAGCAGTAGGCATGTCCCATATATATTTGTACTTGTTCAAGTTTCCATGCTCTCAAGTATATTGATTATCCCGCTTCCTCAATATGCATGGTATCAGGATAATTGACAGAGGAGGGGTCGACGGACAGACGCTCAGGCCGACAGAGCTAACTCGCCTTCTCCATCTGTCATCTTTTCGTCATCGAGTGAAGATCATTGTCGGCGTCGAGACTAGCATAATGGAGCAATACTCGGGAAAGCGTTGATTTTGTAAGCCCGATATGACACCAAACGAGATATCGTATGATTCAGTAAGGTCATATAACCCACCTGTAAGACATGACACAGAGTCATATATAAATGTACGACAATACAGTTTACACAGTTTTCAAAAGTTATATTGTCCACTGTCTCTAATTTCGAACAAAAAAGGAATTATCAGTATCGTAGTCCTATGATAATATTGTGTCGTGTTTTAGACGAGTTGCCTATCTTGCAAATTGTTATAGCTTACAAGAATGACATGTCCTCGAGAGCCTTCTGAAAACTATTCGGAGTGTTTACAACACCAACATTTTGCTGGACATAACATCAGATTACCTTTAATTCTGACACAAAGAGAACATACTTCTAATATTATTTGTGCGTTTATATACTTCGACAATGTTTCTATGCTCTTTACAAATTATAGTATAACTCCGGTCAATCATGCTTGTCAGCACACAATGCATGTTCATTTCCACTCCTTCCACTATTCTGAGCAAACCACAATGACTTTCGCATGCTGCCTGGTGCCCATTTAACACCTGGATGGAGAGTGATTATGGGGTTTTCAGGCCGTATCGATGAAGAAAAAAACTACACTGTATCATTCGATTCAAATTTTCAAAGTCGACTAACTCACAACTCCACTACCAGTGCCATATAGCCCGCATATAAAAATAATTTCTATTTATTTTTAATATAGGTCATGGCATACACAATCATTATCCATAATAATAAGGCGCCAAATCCACTTGACAGTCAAATGCTCAAGGCGCAGCTTGTGCAATAGATGAAATACATACATGATACATTTTATACAAAGTGCGATAGGAAAGGTACAGACATGATAATGGTAATCAATTATAAGCTAAATTAAACAGATATTTCTTAAGATTGTTTTTTAACACTTCAGCAGAACTGCTATTCTTAACCCATTGAGGGAGAGTATTCCATAACGAAGGCCCAGCATGAGCGAAGGTTCGCTCCCCCACTTTGTTTTAACCCTAGGAGTAACAAGTAAGCCAGAGTTTTGAGAACGTAGCTGTCTAGACGGAAAGTAATGCTTAATCAAGCCGATGTTATACTGCGGAGCAGAGCCATGTATACAGTGAAATAATAGCAAAATAATCTTGAAAACAACACGTTTTTCTACGGGCAACCAATGGAGTGATTTGAAGACTGGTGTGATGTGACTGTACTTGTTGGACAGGGTCACGACACGAGCAGCAGCACTGGCGTACTGGTGGGGGGGCTAGGGGGGCGCCAGCCCCCCCCCCAAATAAAATTGAACCATGACTTATTTTCACAAGTAATGTATAAATGTTCGTGATATCACATGATTTTCAACAAAATGCTATAGTTTCTCCATTATTTCTTGCAAACTGACCCATTCCCAAATAGCCAGGAAGGCATATGTTTTTTTATAGTCACTAAGGGCCTTATAATGGCCACTAACAGTAACACTAATTCCTTTCCAGAAGCTACTGTGCAAAGCACTGTCGGGAGATAACATGCTACCCACCACTCGGGTTGAGCATGCACAGATTTGCGAACGAGCGTTCCATACTTATATCATGTAACACTGCACATATACCGTTAAGGGGCCCAGTGGGGGGAATTGAATTCAGACAAGATTAAGAGTAGAGAACGGTACAATGAATCGTCTTCTTTCTCTGATAATTAAATAAAACGTCATAGCTTCCGCGCAGGAGGGGAGACACAAGAATTAAGAATCGAGAACATTACAACGGATCGTCTTCTTTCTCTAATAGTTTAATGAAGTGTCAAGGCTCCCGCGCTTCGCGCGGGAGGGGGGAAACTGAATTCAGACAAGAACACGATACAACGAATCGTCTTCTTTCTCTAATAATTTAATAAAACGGGAAAGCTTCAGCGCTTCGCGCGGGACGAGCGAAAAATGAATTCAGACAAGGATTAAGAGTAATAATGAATTGAAACATCAAAGCTTCCGCGCTTAGCGCGGGAGGGGGGAACTGAATTCAGACAAGGATGAAGACTCGGGACCGGTACAATGAATCGTCTTCTTTCTCTAATAATTAAATTAAATGTCATAGCTTCCGCGCTTTGCGCGGGAGGGGCGAAACAAGCTTTAAGAGTCAAGAACAGTACAACGGATCGTCTTCTTTCTCTAATAATTTAATGAAGTGTCAAAGCTTCCGCGCTTTGCGCGGGAGGTGAAAACTAAAAAAATAACTTAGTTCCTGGCCCCGGATTTAAAGGCTTAAATTTGTAGACATTTGGACATTGGCATTTTTATATTT